TATGATAAGTAAAGGTATTTTTTTCTTTTACAATTTAATGAATATTAAAGCTGATTCATTCAACCGTATTAGCGTTTTGATGCAAGATCAATTTGGGCAAATGCTACCGAGCTACAAAAGGTCAAGGTCAAAATGACCAAGTATGCAGTATCCCGAGCAGATGGCTAAGGTGGAATACTAAGCCACTAACCTAGCATTGGTGTAATGGGGTTCAGTTGAAGGGAGGAATAATTGTATGGTGATTTATAGGCCTGTTGGGCTAGTTCGATGCCGGCAGTTCGAAGTACTGAAGAAATCCGTCGACCCGTCCATAGGTATATTTCTGAGCCCAAATCAAACAAATAGGCCTAAAATAAGATAAAAAATGAAAAATAAATACAAAGGACGAGAAATATCTAAATGAAAAATTACGGCTTTTCCTATTGGGGCTCTAGATGTTAATATATATGTGGCCTGGAGCACTTCAAGCGGCATCTGGCCTCTGCCTAAAATAGGTTGTTCCTTTAATCGCTGCTCTGTTATCAAATAGGGGTTCCAGGGGTAAAAATAATCGTCCTAAACTCCCAAGATATTTAAGGAGTATTTGAATAAGCCACCCTTTAGAATGAGTCCTTCAGATGCTAAAAATGTTTTGGCAAACTAATCTATTTTAATCATATGTTAGTTGGTGTTAATATTTTTTATCAAGAATGTAATGATAGGCATAGCTTCTGTTAGAAAAGTTCATTCGTACATGGATAATAGATCTTCTGGAATTAAATATATCTTCTCAAAACAACCCCGGAAGTCAAATCGCATTCGAAAAGTACTGGCGTGATGAGTCAGCCATTTTGTCTCATATCGCTTAAATAAAGAGTCCATATTCAAGCCTGAAATTACCACAAAGTTAAGTAACTCATTTTCTAATTCAAGAATAAAAAAGGAGAGAAACTAAAAGTTAACCCACCAAGAGATAGAGAAATGCCTTAAAGTGGTTACTCACTGACATTCGGAAAGTTGAGAAGCGCCATTAAGTGTATTTTAGATTAAGGGTTCTAATTAAGCTCAACGAGAGCCCATGAACTAGCTTTTTCTTGCCAAATCCTAGCCTAAAAGGCTTTACATATTCCTATTTTCTTCCTTACTTGCATGTCAAAACTCTTTTATGAAAAGCGATTTATTATGGAAATTGGCTCAATTATTAGATATCCTTCCTGAAAATGCAAAAAGCATATATATGATGATATTTGAACATTCTAAACTTAGCTCAATTAAAAAAAAACATTCTAAAAAATTGCAAACCCGAAAAATCCATCCCAAATTGTAGTCAACCTACGATTAAGAAGCAGCATACTTTAGTGGATAGGAGGCAAATATTTCTTGGAGTGATTTGCAGTGGGCATTTTAGTGAGTCAAAGCAAATTCGATAGGTGTCTTACTCTCATGAACAAACCAAGCCCCAAGTATTTTGGCCCAGGAAGTTCTGTCGATTCCATCTAGTTTGTGTTAGATGAAGAAGAAAGTTGGCAAAAGCAGGTTTGAAAAAAATGCCATTTTTTAATTGTAAACATTAGTTGAAGCAAATTAACCAGCAAAAAGGACTATCGTCAAATGGAACCTATCGAAGCTCATTTGTCTAGAATGTGCAAATTGTTTAGAACATATGCAATTGGATTAAATCGTGCTTTAATTTTATGAATGATAATATGATGAAGTTTACCTCTGAAAGGCATGGATGCCCTCGTGGAATGTTAAATGATAAGAGATATCCAGGGACTACGTAAGGAATGTCTGCTGACTGTGAAATCAGTAATGCTAGCCGCTCTAAAAAAGCACACATGGTTACCAATATTCTCAAAATTATTCTAACATCACAGAAGCGAACATTGATTGTGAGGTGAAAATTTGACAAAGATCAGCTTTGATGCTTTATTTAATGGAAGCCAAACTTATTGCAGTCCTATAAAGATCAACTTTTGAGTCTCTCTTTAAGTATGAAAAATGCTTTTTGTCGATAAAAAACCGGCGTTTCTACCGTGATCTATGTCATTATTGCTCGTTGTGTTAATTTTCATTTCTTGTAAAACTGCATGATGCCGAGAATCGTAGGTCGATCTTTCCAGAAGACGGTTGATTTCTGCTGTTCTGTAGTCGGTTGGTCTTAATAAGTCCTTCGAGTTAAAACAGGCCGAGCTTTTCGTCTGTCGTATGAAAGACACCGTAAGACTTTCAGTACGTTCTCCAAAAAGCTTTAAGCCAACACTAATTCAAAAAGATTTGATGTGATTTTCTTGACTTAGTGCTAACTTTACGCATTTTTCAAGAAGGATTTCAGCTCTGACGATACCTATCCAGTGGCAGGACACGAGAAATGAAGGACTTCGCGTGTACTGCGTAAACCTGAACGTCGTAGTGAAATCAAAAGACTGCAGAACAAAGAAAATCAGCCGTCATGTTCTGATGAGAAAGAGTTGTGTCTCTTTGACGAAGAGACAGAGAGAGAGAGTAATGTCAACACAATAATGCTACTTCAGGATATTTATAAAATTCTACTTACGCTTAGTATATTTGTTTGTCTCATTACTCGAGTAAATTGACCATATAGAGGCCAGTGAATTTAGAGTACGTCTTCTTGAGCCTATTTGGAGGCCAGATGCCGAAAATGATACGCTCACATATAGCA